GATGTATAATCTGCCCAGTGAATGGGCAGAATGAATAGCTACTTGCCATGAATATCTACTTGCTTCTATTGAGATGGACACTCCTTATCTACACTGCTTGGCCTTGCCCTTGAAGTTGTCTCTTGAACATTCTTTCCCTTTTCTAATTCAGATAGGCTGAGGATTTTTAAGATTTTTTCATTCATGATTTACAATTTAAATAATTTCTATCTTCTCAAATTTGAATGCTGGTAATCAAAAGCAGTCAAGCTGTGCCTCCAACATTGTTTAGATATGTCCACAGGAAAATATCCAATTTCATTGCTCATGAGTTCCCCCTTCTACAAAGCACTAGAACATGAGTACAATTCACTAGTATTCTTTTGCAGTTTATAACAAGAATAGGCTTTCCTCAATTGTCTAAAATTGTGTCCCTTATTTTCATCTGAGATACAAAAATAGGTTTTACTGTCTGTATTTCCACAAACATTCTTTTTTGTCATCATTTTATTATTCTCTAACTGAAGCTTTAAGAAAGCTTTGCCAGAATCACCCTTTCTTGTGCTTTCAGTGCAATGCAGGCTTATTCTAGCACACATCTGAAAACTCTTCAGGCCAGTTCCAAAGCCACTTTTACTTTTTCAAGTATGTCATGGCAGCATCCCACTACTAGCATCAGTTTCTTTGCCTTAGTGCATTCAGGCTGTTATGAGACTGAGTGACTCATAACAAAACAGAAATTTATTTCTCCTAGTACTAGAGGCTGTGAAGCCTAAAATCAAGGCACTGGCAGATTTGACATCTACTGAGGGCCTATCTCCTGGTTTGTAGACGGCCATTTTCTTTCTGTGTCCTCAAAAGGTGGAAGGGAAAAGATACCTCTTTAGGATCTCTTTATAAGGCCCTTGTCCTATTCATGAGGGTTCATGATCCAGTCATGTCCCCAAATCCTCACTTCCTAAGGCTATCACCTTGACATTTAAAATTTCAATATATAAATTTTGGAGGAACAGAAATATTTAGAACATAACATCAGCCAATGCAAAATAAAATGTAGTCCATTGTACGTTTAAAGACCCTTCAGGAATGAAATGACAGGTTTCTCAAAAAGTCCAGGGAATTACAAACAGCTAGACTGCTGACAGATTTTATGGGTTCCTAAACACCTCATCTTTTGCCCCCAAGGTGGGAAGTGAGTTCAGCCTACATCTAGACTGTGGAAAGTAACTAGCATTCACTTTTGAAGCTAAGTGTCAGCCATAGAGTAGGTAATATTTCAAGTCTTTCACAGGCTTATTTTCCATCAGGCTCTACTGTACTTGCTGAGGTACTTTTCTAGTTGAATTTACATAATACTCCTTTTTGTTACATGGATTATTATTTCTAATGACAAAAACATTGAAATTAGCCAATTAAAACATTTTCCAAATGAAAAGGGTTTGTAATAATCATGTAGAATAGGAGAAATTTTGAACTTTTTCAAGAATAGTTTATAATTTAAAATTTATGGTTTCCCATTTCATAAATATTTTCCTTTTTCTTTCCTCTAGTTCAGATTTTCTTGAATTTTACTTTTCCCCCCTTTCCACCTTGTCAGCTAATTTTTCCTTCCTCTATTTTTCATCTTTCTAACTCATACTTCATACTTTCATAGACATATTATCTTAGATAATGTGATGTTTTAGTTTTTTAGTGTCAGAAAAAAAGAAGAAACAGAGTACAAAGGTTGGTTAATATATGTTTTAAAAGCCAATTAAGCTTGTTTTGATTTAACTTTATTTTTATTTTATGTTAGGCAAACTTGCAAACACTAGAAACAAACAACATTATAAATATATGCTCATTGTTTTAATTATTCCTTCAAAATATTTATTATTGCATGTATAAAATCATGGAAAGAAATTTCACATTCCTTCTAAACAGTGTAGTCTTCAATAATTTCTATTTGTAAAGAAAATTATTGTATTTCCCCAAAGTCTTTTTTAAAAATTTAAAGTACAAATATGCTGTTTTTAGGTCCTTTGGGTATAGTCCTAGAAGAGGAATAGCACAGCCACATCAATGTTTATAGTAGCACAATTCAAAATAGCTAAACTGTGGAGTCAAACTAGATGTCCTTCAGTGGATGAATGGATAAAAAAAATGTGGCATTTATACACAATGGACTATTACTCAGCTCTAAAAAATAATAAGATCATGGCATTTGCAGGGAAATGGATGGCATTAGAGAAAATTATGCTAAGTAAAGTTAGCTAATCCCCAAAAAACAAATGCTGAATGTTTTCTGATATAAGGGGGGTGACTCAAAGTAGGGTAGGGAGGGAGAGCATGGGAGGAAAATTACCTCTAGGTAGGGAATAGGGGTGGGAGGGAAAGGGAGGGAGAAGAGATAGTGGAAAGAGACATTCATCATTATACAAAATACATATATGAAGATGTAAAGTTGGTGTCAACATACCTTATATACAAACAGAGATATAATACATTGTTGTAGAAAGGTGTATTAAGAATTGCAATACAAAAAAAAAGAGAACTCATGTATAATGGCATAATTTGACATGAACATACTTTATATACAGAGTTACGAAAAATTGTACTGTGAATGGATAATTATGAATGTAATGCAGTCCACTATTGTCATGTATGTAAGAAATAAAAAAAAATAAAAAAATTTAAGGTACAAATAAAAGTATTGAAGTCAAGGAATTAAAAATTACTAGAGTTGGAAAGAGTGACAAAGCTAATGCACACAAAAAATATTCTGTGAAGAGTAACTTTTACGTACAACAACTTTAAGGTTGTTAGGTAGCAATTATACATGAGAAATGGTTTAGGGATTTAAGAAAATACTTAGTTTGGGGCTGGTGTTGTGGCTCAGTTTTAAAAGCACTTGCCTGGCATGTGTAGGGGACTGGGTTCAATTCTCAGCACAACATATAAATAAGTGAATAAAATAAATTTCCATCAACAACTAAAAATGTATATTAAAAATAAATTCTTAGTCTGAGCCAATCAGTTAATCAACAACCATGCCCGTGATACAAGGTCTGGCAAGACAGCTAAATCAAAACTAATATGCCTAATTTCAGCTCTATGAACTATGCATTTTACAATAGGGGAAGATAGATAAACTAAGGGATTCAAAACCAAGGGGCAAGGTTAACCCTATTAAGTAAAACCCTGCAAAAACAATGCTAACTAGACAATGACCTAAGAAAAAAAACAGTGCAACTATAAAACTCACAATTGTCACTGAATGGAGTCCTGGGAAAGACAGAAGACTAAGATCAGAGCCCATCAACCATAAATTCTATAAAACAAGTTCCAATTAGAACCTGTCAGCCAGGCCAGGATGACCCAGTGTTGACCTTAGGTTGTTAAAACAACATTATATCATTGTAATGATAACTCTTTTCCTCAACCTCTTGAGTTTTGCTTAGATATCTGTGGCTCAAAGCTTGTGTGGTGGAGGTTAGAAATCTTTGCCTATGAAGGTTCTTTGAACACTAACTAGAAGAATCTATTAAATTTTTCCAATGATATTTAAAATACTGAATGGGGAAAAGTTACAGGCTTTCCCTAAGATATGGAAGAAAACAAACATGCCCACCTTCACTTTTATTCAAGACAGTACTAAAAGTTCTAACCAAAAATCAGACAAGAGAAAGAAAAAAAGAGCTCTCAAATTGGAAAAGAGGTAGTCAAATTGTCACTGCATATAACATGATCTTATATTTAGAAAATCCCAAAGACCTTACAGAAAACCTGTTTGAACTAATAAACAAATCTGCAAAGTTGTAAGATACAAAGTCAACACACAAAGGTCAGTAGTGTTGCTCTATTCTAGAAGCAAAATCTAAAGCAATAAAGCAATCCCTTTTACAATATCCATAAGAAAGAACCTGGGAATAAACTTAACCCAAGTAGAAGATTTTTAAAAGGAATACTATAGAACACTGATAAAAGAAATTGAAGATGACGATGCACCCACCAGTTTACCCTCCCCCCCACCAAAGAGACCCCCACCATAACTGTAAGTATACGCTTCTCTCCTAGTAAACAAAATCTTTACAAAGAGTGTAAGCAAGATTTCTGCAGAGAGCTCATAGTGGTTTGAAGCTTCCTTTTTGTTATAAAGGCTTGGTTAATTTTTCGTGTAAAAGTTGAGTCTTCGGATCAAGCTTGTTGCTATGCACAATTATTATTTCTGTTTTCCTTGGTAAAAACTTGTGAAATCTTTGTCTGGCTGAAAATATGGGACAAAGAGTAACTGTCATGTAACCACCCCACTGAGTATAAATCTAAAAAAATTTCCAGACGTAGGGGTTCTGAGATTTATATGCATTAGCACCTGTGGACCACTGCAGCTTAAATAAACCTGCTTCCTGAAAATTTCTCAGGTGTCCAGCCTCATCCTACATCAATGACACAGAAAAATGAAAAGATTTGCTATGTACAGAGATTAAAAGAATGAATTCTATTAAAATATTCACACTACACAAACCAATATGTAGATTGATTTTAATCTTCTTTTAGGATTGTTTCCCCAAATTTGTGTGAAAACAAAAATATACAAATAACCTAAGCATCTTGAGCAAAAAGAACAAAAACAGATGGGTTTACATTAAACTAAAAAGTGTCTGCTCAGGAAATAATCATCATATGAATAAAAGAAAATATTTGTAAATTTTACATAGGATAAGGGGTTAGTATTCAGAATATACAAAAAACTCACAAAACTGAATAGCAAAAATCAAAAAATAAAATAATTCAATAAAAAATGGGTACTATATCTAAATCAGCATTTCTTAAAAGAAGATATACAAATGGCCAAGAGGTGTATTAAAAAAGTTCAGTATTACTAATAATCAGAAAAATATGAAACTTGTATGCTTCAAAACATCATGTTGTATGTAATAAATGCATGTAATTTTATCTGCCAATGTAAGAAATAATTGAAAAACTTGGTAAAACAGTATGTACAATCATAGAACAATATTAATATAAATTAATACACTCACCAATACAGGTAGGTAAAGAATCATTCCACTGGGCCAAAGAATTGGGCACTGTATCACACCTAATTGCTATGGATCCATGGAGAATATATCCTGGATTACATTCAAAAAGAACCAAGGAACCCACTGCAAATTCATTGCCAATTCTTCTTCCGAATCTTGGTTCAGGAACAGAACTGCATTGTGTAGAACTTGTTCTAGGAACAGCTGTGTAGAGATAATTGTTGGTTTTAATTTCACATGCATTAGACAAATTTCAAAATGTTACTATTTAAACAGTTCAAAAGAAATCCATTTTTGTCAGAACTCGAATTAACAACTTGAATATATTTCTAAGTTTTAAATTTCACACAAAATACAATACAATTTAAAATGAATATTGTCATTGTCATCAAGATTTTTGTTCTAAAAGTTTTTCTTTTGATACTTTAAACAACATCAATTATTTTTTCTATTTTTTTAACAAATTCTTATTAATACAATAAAGCAATTTTAGGTATTGAAATTTATGTCATCAAAATTGAGTTTTTTTTTTAACTTGGGATATCAAATTCAAAAAGTATGTGTCAGTTTACATGAAGTAGTTTTTTAGTACAATTTTTTCAGCATATTTTCTGTAAGAACATAAATTTCTAGATGCATTTTATTTATTATAGCATGTTTACAAACTTTGTTTTCAAAACTTGTTTGTTATTGATGAAGACAATAATTACATTCAATATATAAGTCAGACAGATTAACAACAATAGAAGGTTTTATGTCAATAATCATAAATATCAAATTTGAAATTGGTTTTAGACTTTATATCTTTTATTTGTGCCTTTTTAAAAAATCAGTAAAAAAGAATGATAACAGGATGTTTTTTCTTTTTAAAACACATACAAATGTGATTAAAGAGATTGACAACAGTCCAAAGAAATGATACAATGAATTTCAAGTAGATCAATTTCTCTTATGTAACTTGAGTAATGATAACTAAATTTTTATAGTGCCTTGTTAAATTCATAATACTAAAGTTGTTTACATGGGGAACTATGATTAAAAATAAAACAATAGTATAGCCTATTGATAAGGTGGATAGGAGTTTAATAAGAACAACAAATAATAAATGTTTATAAATTTATCAGGAATAAAGTTCAAGGTACATTTGAGAATAACTCCTACATGATCATAACTAATTCAAACAAAATATTTCAAATGATAGCCTTTAATTTAGTTTAATGATAACATGGAAGATTGTTTACATAAGGCAACAAAAAGCTGTCTAAATTCTAATTGTGCAAAATCTTTATAAATCATAAGGAAAGTTTCAATTCTCTTGAGAGAATGAGAAAGTATAATTTTAGAATACAGCATGATTTTCTTAGCATGTCTAAATATATCAGGACAAAAATTTGTACATTTTAAATTTAATGTGCTAGACTATAAGGAAAATAGAAAATATAGAGAGTGAACAATTAACAGAAAAACAGTGATGTTTGGAAAACAGTATTCTGGGAGGGAAGGAAAATCAGACATTTAAATGGAGAATGATAATGGAAGCAATATTTCTTTTTTACTTTGGTAAAAGTGACAATGTCCTTGTAGTGGAGTGGGGAATATGGGAAACAGGGTAAAACTACTTAAAAAAAAAAGCTTTTATCTCTCCTATATGGTTATGAGTATCACATCATTCAATAGCTTGGAACACAGCATGGAAATTGATATCATTCCTTAGTGTGTTTCTAGACTACAGGGCACTTACCTTGATAAACAAAGTGAAATCCCTTAGCTGTTATTGGTCCAACTGAAGTAAATCGAATTGTGATCTGATTACCTGAACTCAGTGGAAGTGATTCTCCTACTCAACAAAACAAACACTAAGATATCATAAATAATTTCATTCAGTAAACCTAACAAATTATATTATTTTACACTGTCACTTGAAAATTTCAATCTATGTTCTATTAAATTGCTTTAAACTATCCTACCACTAACAATATATTTTCTTTGGGTAAAGCTTAAGTTGCTATCTTTTTATCAGAAGGCTTTAATTACATTTTGATACAGACTAACTCATTCTTCAAAGAATGTTTAAATATTTTATATTACATTAAGCACCACATATTGTGATTAAATATATTTACTTGATTACAATCTCAGAAAATAGTCGATTATATTTTTCTCAAGCTTCTGTATTACTGTCAAGTTGTGTTTCTATTCTTAAAATATATATAAATATATGATTCTATTTTCAGTTTACTTCATTTGTAATATGGATGATATAAATCTCAGCTTTCTCTATAATAGTAATCAAAGTCAGTCTTTAATCAATAGCTGATGCATGGCAGTTCTATTAAAGGATACCTGAATGGGATCCTGAGAGGGAAGATAACAGAGAAGATTGCTGAGTTGGCCCATCAAACACCTCAACAACATCGTGGAGTGATGTCTGGAAAAATACAAACTGGCCAAACACCACTGATCAACAGGAACCAGGAGAAGCAAACAAATCACCAACCATCCAAAAATGAAAACAAAAAACAAAAAACAAAACAAAAAAAAATAGAAAGAGGAGGAGAGAGAGAACAAAGTATTACAATATAATAGTCATCTTTCTTTTTCTTTTTTCTTTTTTTTTAACCTTTAAAAGGGGATAAGTGCCAATTGGTTGATATTCCCAACACAAGTATTTCAGGTCAAAAAGATAATGACCATGGCCTAAAATCAATAAAATTTTAAGAAGACTATTTTTTAAATATAAAATAGGCATAGCATTTAATTTAGATCAGAAATCATAAGGTTGGTGATTAGTACTTAAAATAACTATTTTTTGATTTTTTTCCCAATGGTAGTTTGATTCTTTTCACTTTGTGACTCTCTTCTCTTTTTCTAATTTTTTTTTCTCCTCCTTTAGATGAGATAGCTGTCATTCAGGGTTTTTTTTTTTTTTTTTTTTTTTTTTTTTTCCTCTCTTAAAATGTCCAAATAGTTTTTCTGAAAATAGATCAACATGATACTTGTCAGAGATAGTGTTTTAGTGTTTAATTTACATTCTACACTAAAAATGATTTCTTAGCTTGTATTATTAATCTCTGCCAAAATAAAGAACTATTATTTATCATCCTTAGCAACTGAAATTATAAAAATTTCATAAAATGATTAATTTTGCTTGGTAAGCACAGTACTGAAATATGTACCAAAAGAGCTCTGTGAGAGACTCATTTACTTCATGTTGTACTTGTCTTTCATTACAAATTAAATTTACATGCAAAATCTATCCCAACTATATCTTCAAAGAAAGAACCCATTCCAGAGTCAAAATCAATTTGTGTTTGGTGCCCCCAAATTTTTTCAATGGGTTTCAATCATTATTTTTAAAACTTCACTGGATAGAAAAACTGTGAGGGGTTTAAAAGAGTATGAATATATATATTTTTAAAGTTTAATAAGATAAAAGCCAAGATAACTTTAATAAAGAAAAATCACATTATTTTAATTAAATTAAACATTTATATTTTATATGTCAAGTCAAGGTAATGGACATCCTTTCCTGGACCCTTCAAAAACAATCTAGTTCACTTGAAACGACTGATGTGCTGAGTTTTACATATGAATACAGGTTATACATAATACTGTAAACAAAGATGCAGTATTATTTTTTTATCTTTTAATATCTTTCTTTTTGCTTGCAAAAATAAGCTGGTGATCTCAGTCCAGTTCTTTGTGGAGTAAAAAACAAAAAACAACATAGTAACAGTTGTAGGGTCATTGCTTTGAACCAATTTCAGAACACTGAAGTGCTTAATTTGTAATACTCCTCCTTAAAATATTTCCTAGAAGTCATGAAAATTTGTTTCCACTAAACCAGATACATGCAGTGAATTGCTTTAATGATCATATAAAATATTTTGAGCTCAGACCTTTTAAAAGATCCTGAATTTGGTCCCTTAAATCCCAAACTATTAAAATATAGATTAAGAAAGGTTTTGTTTTCAGTTTTTGTATAATTGATGTTTGGATGATTTGTTTTCAAATGTATCTTTGAATACAAAATTCTGTTTTAATGCACATGTTGGTATAGCTTTACCAAGTGACCAAAACTAAACAAAACAAAAACAAAACCTTGCTACTTTAATCACAAGAAATTTATTCTATCAAGTACATTGTACAACAAGGGTCTTGACAGAGAACTTATTAGTTCTCTAATATTTTGGGGGGAAATCATTAAAAGAAATGAAAATTCAACATCCTTTACTTATTATCCCTAAATATCTCAAGGATTTAATTAAGAAAACGATTAATTTCCAAGCAAACCACTACATTTACAAACATCATTAACAACTATAATACAATTATCTAAGAGCTTTCTCTAAGGAAAAAACCAAAAACTCCCCCTATTTTCTTCTTGTATTTAGGCCTGTACTTATGAATTATTGCTTCTGTACACATAGACAAATTTTCAGCTGTAAATTGAATGTATTGAAACCATAACTGTTAATGATACAACCATTATTGCTGTATTTTTGTATCATGTTAAGTAAAGAAAAATGTAGGGCATAGTCTTTTGAGCATTGTTAGGAAGTCATGTTTGTAATTTATTCCAATTACTCTGAGATGAGGGTAGAGAAAGTTGAGAAAAGGGAGTGAAATTTTGAATCTTACCATATTAAGTACTGAGTAAACCAGTTTTCCTTAACTATGATCTGATTCTGCATTAACATGAGCAGTGGAAATTTTAAATTAAAAATCCTAAAAAAAAGTTAGCATTTATTAAAAAATTTTTCTGGGAGAATAATGAATTATTATATGAACTATCATTATAAGGAGACATTTAATAAATTATTTTATAGCATGAAAATCAACAATACTTGCATAGTAATCTTATTTCCTAGTTACATCATCAGATTATCATCTCATTTAACAATTGCATTATAATTCTGAATCAAATCCTCCCTTCTTAGTCAGAAATTTAAAACATTATGTGGTATCCTTCAGTTTTGCTTCCCCATTCTGTTTGCTAATTAGTCCATTTTCTTATGTGTAGACAGCAGGTCTTTAGTTTCTAAAATGTTCTGAATGTCCTTTGCCTGGTTGAAATTGATAGAAAACTAGGAGAGACTTTAAAGAGGACCAAAGAATTACTGCTGTTTTGTTGTTTTGTTGTCTTTGCTTTTGTTTTTGAGATGGAGTTTCCCTATTTTGCCCAGACTGGTCCTGAGATCCTGGGCTCAAGTGATACTCCTGCTTCAGTCTCCCAATAGCTGTGACTACAGGCCTGTGCCACCATGTCCAGCTCTATTGGCAAATTTTTGTTAAGCAAGTTGTTGTCTAGCATACGTGGGTCACCTGTATTCATGGAGACTATGGCGTATGGAATGGATTTCTAAACAATCAATTTTTCACCTATTTGTAAATTCATTTTACCTATTTAATCTACCTACCTACCTATCTATCTAATCTAGTCACCTATTTCTGTATTAGTCATCTATCATTCAGTTGAATTCTCTTTTGAACCACTGTAACATCTTACTGTGTCCCTCATTATTTTACTGGGAGTTACTAAAATATTTAATATATGTGTATTTTATATTTTTGTGAAAGTTGTGATTATGCCCTCTTTTTTGAAAAAAAATTATCTTTTAACATTAATCTAGAAACAAATATCCCAATCTAATGACTGGATAATCCTTTTATCTCTAAAACTACACTTGCTATGTAAAATATCCCTACAAATAAGCCAGTTACTAATAATTTAGTTTTACACCTGAGTCTTGTTTTCCTGCATTTCATTCTATAATAGATTTTATTAATTTAACTAATATTAGTTGATTCAATTCTACAAAGTACAAGTGTTATGGTTTGGATGTGAGGGTGTCCCCAAAAAGCTCATATGTGAGACAATGCAAGAAGGTTTAGAGGAGAAATGATTGGATTATGAGAACCTTAATCCAATCAGTGAATTAATCCCCCAATAGGGATTAACTGAATGGTAACTGAAGGCAGATGGGGTGTGGCTGAAGGAGGTGGGCATTGGAAGTGTGGCTTTGGGGTATATATTTTGTAACTGGTAAGTGGAGACTTTCTCTCTGGTCTCTCATCATCATTGAGTATCTTCCCTCCTCCCTACTCTTCTGCCATGATGTTCAGCTTTACCTCAAGCCCTGAGGAATAGAGCTGGCCTTCTATGGATTGAGAACTCTGAAACCTTGAGTCCCTAAATAAAGTCTTCCTCCTTTACAATAATTTTGGTCAGGTCTTTAAATTACAGCAGCAAAAAAGGTGACTAAAACAACAAGGATCCAAATTCAATACTGTTGTTTAAAACGTGACCAATACAGATAGGGTCCCTGCTCTTAGACCCCATTCATTATATTGGCCTTTGTTAAAATGGTGGCTTATCCAGTATGGAGATTCCTTAGAAATGTTGGATTGGAACCATCATTTTACCCAGCTATCCCACTCCTCACTCTATACCCAAAGGACTAAAAATCAGCCTACTACAGTAACTCATCCACATCAATGTTTATAGCAGCTCAATCCATAATAGCTTACTATGGAACCAACCTAGATGCCCTTCAACAGATGAGTAGATAAAGAAACTGTGGTATATATACACAATGGAATATTACTCAGCATTAAAGGAGAATAAAATGATGCAAATGGATGGAGCTGGAGAATATCATGCTAAGCAAAGTAAACCAATCCCCCAAACCCAAAGGCCTCATGTTCTCTCTGATAAGTGGGTGCTGATCCATAATGAGGTGGGGGCGGCATGGAAAGAATGAGGAAATTAGGTTGGGCAAAGGGGAGGGGACTTGGGGCAGGAAAGATGGTGGAATGAGATGAACATCATTACCCTAAGTACATGCATGAAGACACAGATGGTGCAACTCTACATAGTGTACAACTGGAAAAACTGACTACAATGAATCAAAATGCATTCAGCTATCATATATACCTAATTAGAATAAATTAATTAATTAAAAATATATGACAGCTTATCTTTATTTTACCTATGAAAAGATGCCAGATTTTATTCTACCTATGGAATGTCATATTAGCCAATCAAATGAATTATAAAACAACAACAGGCATTTGGGGTACATCTTCCCACGCAGGTTATTGCTATATTCATCACATATTCAAATTCATTCTTCAATACAAGTCCTCTACCTAATTCTAAGAAACAGAGTTAGGGGAGAAATATATTGTTTAGATTTTTAAGAATTACTTTTAAGTCTGCTTAAATCACATAAAGAAAATCTCTGATTTTGTTCATATTCATAAAATGTTCATCACAACTTAAAAATTTTGTTCTAGTGCATTTGTTTCTCCAAGAGCAAGCAAACACAGAATGAGACAAGGCAATATGTCCATCTGTTCTTATTTTTATAAAAAGCAAGATTTATTGCTTGCTTTTTATAAAAGGTACCATATACTGGGAAGGTTTGCATGACACAAGTTTTATTTTATTTAAG